ATCTGACAAACCAAAACAGAGAATGCTTTCATCACAGAAATCTTGCATATTATTTAGGATGAAGGTAGGCTGCACAGGAATTTCTTGCCTTTTTTTTTTTTTTTTTTTTTTTTTTTTTTGGTGGTGGCATGGGCTAAGTATACTCACGATAAAATGTCTTAAAAATAGGATTTACTATGAATTCCACGGATCTTGGGGGAAGAAGGAAGCTAAAAGGGGGACTGAAACAATAAGGTCATTGTAATATTTCTTTTCTAAATAAAATTGGATTCCAATGGCAGGCAGCAGAGCCCCAGACAGACAGGTTTAACTGGCAGCCTTCCAAAAGCCGAGATGAAAGGTCCTCTGAGTAGTAATTGTCTAAATGGAACAGACTCTGGTTATTGTGCAACTTCTTCATATACTTTATTGTACCTTTATAATTAAATGATGTAATTCCTTTTTTTTTTTTTTTTTTCCTTTCTTGTTTTCCTCTTGACTAGTGCAGAAAAACATCTGGGCAACGTTGCCATAGGATGCAGACAGACCCTGTGACTTCCAGGTTTTTTTCCTGGGTCACAAGTGGTATACAAGGAGTTGTGAACTGCTGGTTGCCAAAGCAGGACATAAACTCTGCCTTCTCCCGGCCACGAATGGACACTTACCTGCATTTCAACTCTCTGCTTGCTTAGTTGTGGATGTGGTTGGTTCACTGGGGTTTTTTGGTAAGGTGAGGCAATGTTGCTTTTGATAGGAAGTCAGTGGTAAACGGGCAAACAGTGGCTCTAATAGGATATAGGGAACACTATATTCAAAGGGGCATTAAGCATCACGGCTATGTAATTCACGAAGGAGACTGGACACACACCTGCGAATTAGAAGAAGCTTAGAGTATTGTGCTGAACAAATGCAGAGCCAGCCTTTCCTGACTCTGCAAGGCTTTAGGGATCAGGACGCTAGTCCTGAGATGATAAAAGTCTTGATCAGATGCAAAAGCAGAATCGGAGGACCGGCTTTGTAAGGTCTTTCTTTTTGATGGGTCCTTCTGTACAAGAGTGCTTTCCCTCAGTCCAAGTAGCCCATTCACAGGAATAAAGATTCTTCAGGTGAGTAAAAGTTAGCAAGACTGGGCCCTGGGTTTGCATGTTCAACTCCAATAATTTCTTTATTGCCTGTAATTTCTATTGTCTCCAGTTCGATTTTTTTTTTTTCATTCATGATAACAAAGAGAACAAATTAACTGCCTAATTTTGATGCAGATTTAGAATATTCTTCAGACTTTTGGTCTCATGCCTGTGCCTTTCCCTGAGTATGCTTGCTTGTGACAATGTGGTTTAATTCGTTGTCTGTTTATCTAATCATATTCTTTTGAAATATGCACCTGTGTTCTATGGAAATATAACAAAAAGGGACAGGAGAAATATAAATAGGACCAACTACTGAATATATGTATTCATGCCTATGATATCTACCCATAAGAAATCTGAAGTAACAGATCTTCAGTTTTTCTAGCAAAATCCAAAATAAAGGTTTTTATTTATTTGCCAGAAAGTAAAAACTAATAAATATAGAATAGGATTACAGAGTGACCCAGCCTATTCAGAAACAGAACCGTTTTTTAAAATCACTGGCATCAGAATACTGCCAAGTACCACAGGGCCTGATCCTGCCACAAGCCATTGCCTACAGCTTGTATTAATTTCAGCAGAGTTCATAAGCAGAATAACTGCAGGGTATTTGCAAAGCTAGTTAGGCTCTTAATGACCATTTTGTGTTATCCTTCGGTAGACAAACCTACCATTCTCAATCCTGGAAGTTTTGCCTAGGGAAAAATGTAGGATCTGTCTCAAAATAAATGGATCACTTAGATCCTGTCCAGCTTTAAAAAAAAAAAAAAAAAAAGAAAAGAAAGAAAGAAAAAAAACCCCACCAACCTATCAACCCTTAATAGCATTTACATTCAATTACCTATAGCATTACACACAGTATTGGGGGCCAGAACCTGCATTAGTTTATCCAGTTCCGGAGGAGGTGTGCTAGATTAAATTAACAGCTGGCAGCGGAAGGAGAATAAAAGGCCTATGTACCAATAACATCCTCTTTGATATGGTATTTGCCCTGGAGCTCATTCAGAGAGAGATTTCATCTGTGCAGGAATATGCACCCCAGTCAGCGTATCTGATTACCACAGGTAGAGAACATCTGCAACTCTTCACACCTGCACAGGGCACGATGTGCCCAGGCACCCACCCCTGCAACCCCTAACTCCAGATGAGCATCTGTCATGGAATACAACTGGAAAAGCAAGGTGGTGCTGTCAGGATGAAACCGCAATTCCTGCCTCATTCTGAACTCATAGCTGTTCTGAACATCGGACAGCGACAGCAAATGTACTTATTCCACTTCCATCGTACAACTGAGGATCGTAAAGAAACAGTCTAGTAGCTGGCCTTACATGGGAACAGGGACACTAGTTGACTACCCATGTAAAACTGGCTCCAAAAAATTCAGCGATTCCAGCATACAAGGATTTTTAACAGACAAGTATTTTACATTACTTTTTGGTAAGGGGAGAGTAAAATGATTAGGTTTTTTGAACTAACAAAATATAAAGTGGACAAGCAGTCCCATAATATCTCCAGTTTTATTTCTGAGCAAGTCAAACACTTTATCAGATTGCCATTATACTTGCTTTTCTATGTTTTAATTTGGATCTGCCAAAGGAATACACCTCTACAGTATTAGTGCTAACATGTGTGACTCTTCATCATGGCCGAGAACTATAATCTAGGCAGATCCTCACTCCAGAAAGACCATCAAACAAACTATTATGCTGGTATTCAGTGTTACGACACTCCCTCCTTTGACATTTCTCTCAGTGTACATGAAAAAAAGGTTTAAAGAAGGCGAGGAGTGACACACATCGATATTTGCACACACCTCCCTTACATGCACGATTTGTACTTCTGACCTTGGGGCAGCGACTCTGCAGAGTGGCTATCTGGCCATCTGTAGACACATATGTCCAGGAATATGTGTGCAGAAACGCACGCGGTACCCGAGCCCAGGAATCCCTCACTACCAGTCAAATGCTGCATATTTCGAGTTAGTTCACTAAACACACACTCATTCACACACTCATACAAACACACGAATACAAGTTGCAGCAGGATCTTTCGAAGACTCTCTTCTCCTGTGTTTAACCACCTCAGCTTGAGTTGCCACATTCTCTCCACCGTTAACACTTAGCGGAGCTGCCGTTACTCATCACCCAGTGCCAGGCAATTTCAGCAGTTTCTGGCAGGAGAAACAGATGTTCCTGATCCCAGGACAAGGCAGGCGGTGAAAGAGGAAAGAGCCTCACTTTTTTCAGAATTAAAAACCTATCTAATAGTTGAAACTCCATTTGCCGAAGGTGAGCTCTAGTGACATGTTCGCCTGCCGTCAAGGTTGAATTTCTTTGTTTATGCCCCGAGCACAGTGAGCACACATGGCAGAGTGATCCAGCCCTCCACATCTGCACCCTCACCTAGACAGAGAAGAGGAATCCCTCCATCAGCACTGAAACCAGCAGCAGGGCACCAGGGTGCTGACAAACTTCGGACGTGTTCACCTGTCCATTATAAATAGGACTGAAGCCACCACTTCATTTCATGGGGATCATTAAATAGCAATTAAACACCGAGGGGTCACTGGTAACACAGAGAGGATCCCAACTAGTGATCTAGGTTCCCTGCTGCACCACCTGTTTGTACTGTTGCAGTGCAAGTCCATACCATGCTACTCACTTCTACTGCTCACATTTAAAACATACGGATCAAAATGTATACATTGGCAAACACATGTGAGAGAATATCCCTCGTGAATAATTAGCTTTCAGTAATAATTCCGCTTGCGGTGTCTGAAAGGGGAATTAATGCAGGCTATCAAGGGAGTTAGGGACCGAGAACACACTTCGAAAACAAGTATTTTTAAAGATTGCATGGTGTAAGAAGCAATGAGTTTACTGCGATGGAAATAAACCGTTGGAGAATCATCTGAATGCAACAGAAGAACCATGGGAGGGCAATGTTATTTTGTTGTATGGAGCAACCATGCTGTGGGTAGCAAAGATGCTGCCATCCTTTACCGAAACCCTCATCATCCTGTGAAAACATACATCTTTTGTAGACAGGATGTTTAGGCTGGATTTTATGCATATCTCCCCTTCCTATACTTTGGATCAAAGAAACATCTGAGGCAAACTGACCATCACCTTGAACTGGTACCTTGGGGAAAAAAAGAAAAAGAAGGACCAAAAGACAAGAAAAAACATAGCACAAAAATGCTACAGGCAAGCAGATGCATCTCCACACCAAAAGAAAATGATTCCTTTCTAAGGATCCTAATAAATTCATGTAATGTTATGTAGACATTGAAAATATTCCAAAACATAGCTCAGTGTAAACAGCAAGCTGGGTTTTCTCCTGCTCTTTAGCATTTCTCTTTGTTTACTCTCCATTTGAGGATAGAAGAAGCCTACATGTGAGCACTGCAAATGGTGTATTTCAGGACTGATGGGGCATTTGGAAAGGGAATGATGAAATACAGACATATGTAGCCTCTGATAAAATAATATGTACTTTGCCTGAGTCACCAGGGTCAAACAAAATTTTAAAAAGAAAAATCCTTTATTAATACTTCTTATTGGTGGGTAGAAAATAATCTGATACCATGGCAATGGGCAGACTATATTAAGCTTAGAGAGACAGAGACATGAGAGAGACATCCTGGGGTGTGTCTGCTCTCACCCCCACTGCCTTCTTGCTCCCAAACCCCACGCCTCGTCAGCAGAGACCCCATGGGAAACTGCCCTGGCAGTGCTTCGGGAAGCCATGCCCAGCCAGGCCAGTTCACCCATCGCAAGGAGAGGCACTTGGCTAGAGATGCCAGCTCCCATCTGTGAGCCCAAATGGCTCTGCTCAGCCTCTGCTCGGCTCAGGAGGGCCTGGCACGGTCATTTGGTAAAAAACAGCCCTTACCTTTGGCAATCAGCTCCTCCAGCTCTTGGTCGAATCCTTGTCGGTGGCATTTCCTCCAGAGCCCCATGTTGGTCGAGTTGTACTGTCTGTTGCACTCGTCGACTGCGCTCATAGCAAAGATCTGCCTCCTGTTTCTTGCCAAGAGGAGTTTCCCTTCCCAGCGGTCCAACCTAGACCTGCTGGCCCTGAGAGGCAGGTTGTTGTTGGAGTTGTAAATGAAGCCAGGATCATTTCTCTTAGTGGTGATGCTCTTGCACCTCTCTCTGTGCTTCCTGGCATCAGTTTCGTACCAATGGTCAGAGCAGATTGCCACAGCCAGCATGCCCAGGGCACACAGAGCTAAAGAGAGGCCAGCATAGAGCAGTAACCTTCCAGCAGCCATACCTCAGCTTCACAGAAACACCATGGACATCTTCACAACAGGCAAAGCCCTTGAGCGTGAGACCACGCAAAAACCTCCGGAGCAGCTGCTAGGTGTCACTTGCCAGAGACTGCCTCAAACATCCCCAACTCCCATGGCTCACATCCACGCTGCAGAGGGATGCTGAGAGCGCTACAAAGTTCTGCCCTGGAGGCAGTCCTGGAGTCTCATCTGTCTCTTCTCCTCTGCGGAGGAGACCTGGGGAGGAGAAACACAGCCTTCCACCTCGAACGGGAGCGAGCCAGCGACCCACCTATACAAAGATGTCCTGCTCCCCTCACCACGAGTACCAGGGACTGAAGGGGTATATGCCCCCTGAAGAGACCCGAAAGCTACGGCTGATCAGTCCATTAATCTCTTTCAATCTGGCCAGCTCAGAAATACCAGAAGAGATGGCTTTCAGATCAGCAGGCTCACCACAGCATCATCGCAGGACATCACAGAAAAGTTCAGCAGCTCAAGATCTCCCTCTTGCAAGCAGGAGGTTATCCCGGTTTCGGCAACGGGTGACTTGCCTTTGCTTTGTCAGTGGCTCAGCAAGAGCATCATCATCTGGACGGTCGGTCACTTGCTGGGGTTTAAAGCGGGGTCGAAGGGGAGGGAGCAAGAGCGGGGAGCAATCTGTTGTTGCTGCTGCTGCTGTTTTAAATCGCGGCTAAAATACAACCTCCCCGGCTGGAACTGGAAAGGCAGGCGTGCACAGGTCTCTTCCCTTAGCAGACTTCGCTGACAGTCACTGACATCTCGGCTTCGGCAACACCTCGGCTCCTCTCCGCCGGCCTCGCCATTCACTCGCTTGCTTTTGTCGTCTGCGCTGTCATCCAGGCAGCGGAACGCCCCGGTCCCTTCCCGCGGAGCCCGCGCACCTCCGGCTAGGCGGCACTGGAAGCGCTCCTCGGCCCCGGCATCGTTCTTTTTTTTTTTTTTTTTTTTTTTTTTTCCTTTTTCCCCCCACACACACAAACGCACACGCACCCCCCACCCTCCCGCACCCCCACCCCCACCCCCCCTCCTCTTTCCGCTGGTATCTGAAAAGCTTCCTCCGTCCCCGGCGCTGGGATGTGTTGTGCACAGTTTTCCTAACACGGCGGCACGTTAGCCATCTGCAAGATGAAGGCAGGCAGGCAGGGCTACGGCTGGCTGAAAGGATGCTGAGGAATGGGAAGGGGAGGGGGTTCGGGGGAAATCAAACCAAAACAAACCGGGGAGGAGGCGGGGGGGTGGGGTGGGGGGGGGGGGAAGCTACACACCTTACACGGGGAGAAGGCGGCAGCCCCTAACTGTTGTCAGCAGCTTTCGGTCTGCACCATTTCTCTGCCATATGGCCCGATCTCCACGTCGGAGCTGAGATTTTTAGCACAGCAGCTTCGTACGAATCGTATCCCCAGCATCAGCAGTTATATATTCAGACATTTTTTTTTTCTTTTTTTTTTTTTTTTTCCTCCTTAAATTTCCACTCCCTCTCTCTCTAATGGGAATAACTCACCCATCTTGTAGAGATCAAGTGCAACAGAAGGCGAGCTGGAGTCCCCAAGCTTTAGAAATCTCATTTCACCGTTTTTAACCCAAATAAGAGCGAATCCAATCTTCTGTACACCTGGGAATCTTTCCTTGTTCAAACACCGAGCCCTGCAGCCTTGGCTAAAGCCTACAGACAGAGAATACAGAGCGCTGAGCCAAAAGCCAGTGATGTCACCCATGCAACGTGAGACTCATTTCTTATTTCTCTAGCCTCCTTAAAGATAAACTGCACCACTTCCCAGGCAGGAAATGTCGAAGCCTTACTTTCTTAAGAAGGGAAAATGTAAAACCTGGATCTAACTGGATCCTGCTCATTCGTGGTCACAAGCCCTTACATTGTGTCAACCAAATCCAAGACAAGCGGAACTGTTTCTTACTGCACCAAAAAAATCCCAACCTGCTACGTAACACAGAGCGGTGAGCTCGAAAAAACCCTGGATTCAGGACCTCCTGTGCGATCCAGAAAACCGAGGCCTTCAGACTCGGAACTGTAGTGTTTAAAAAGGAAATAAGCACAGCCATTTTCCTTGCATCAAAAAGCTCTGGATCCTGGCGCAGCCTGACCTGTGAGTACCACAGCATCCCGGAGCTGGCAGAGAGACCCGGTCAGCCTCGTCCAATATCGGGCTTGCACACACCGGTGACTCCACAGCACGACTAGCAAAGCGAGGCGGCCGCTCCTACTGCACCAAAAAGTCCACAGCCCGACGCCTCTCCACAGACGAGTGTCGCAAAAATCGACATCCACTCTAGATCCTACCAGCTTTTGGCCCCTGAAGGCCAGGCTGTGTCATCTCAATGGAAAATAAGCACGGACTTTATTGGAGCCCCTGGGTTGGTGACAGCCCTCGGCCTCAAGGAGGGAGTACTGGGATTTCGCTAGCTTTTAACCCCACCCACGCAAATTGTACTTGCTCCAGTGGGGCGAACAGAGCGGGGACAGAGTAGCTTTGTGTATCAGAAGGGCATACCTGGATTTTCTTGTGGAATAGAGCTGCATCCGAAAAAAACCCACACGGCTGGATCCTACCAATTTTTGACCCCAAACTAAATTGTATCCTCAAAAAAGGCAAGACAACTCCTTCCATCTCACCTGGAAAAACCAGGTCCCAAGTCAATTTGGATTCTCAGCTATGGAAGGGCATGTCTCCCATTAAACCATTGTTAGTTCAAAATGTACTGTATTGTCTAATAATTGTGGCATGATTACGAAACTCGCAAAGGAAAGTCGATCATCTAAACCATTGACGCTGGGATCACCTGCATCCTCTGAAACAGCTCTATTGCAAAATTTCAATGTTATGTTATGAATACTAACTGTATCTGGAAATCTCTAGATAAAGTTAATCATTTTATTGAAACAAGGCACTGGTTTCAAATTTTTTTTAGCAGTAACTTCCCTTTGTTGCTCATAATAAAAGCAAATATTTAAGGATCTAAGGCTTTTTTAAGAATAGTTAAGCACAGGTGGATCCACTTCTATAACTGGATTTTTCAACCATCTACACGTCAGTACATAAAAAGAATTAAATTATATAGTGGGCTTGGAGCAGCCATACTTGTCATCTGTTCAGAGGTAGAATTTGGAGGCTTGTGGTCAAAAAGCTACTGGCTCCTCTGAGAAGATGGTGAACAGGTTTCTTGTATTGCACCCACACAGAGATGAGAGTGCACCTGGATTTCTTTGTCAATTTTTAGCATTGGGTCCCAAGCTGGAGGATGAGAACAGGGAACAAGCCTAATTTTACCAAATGTGGATTTTTGGCTGGTAAGATTGTTACATTTTTGATTTAAGGATGAGAGTCTGCTACATTTAGTCTCTATTTAGGCTGAACTGGAAGACACAACTGCTTTCTGTCTAAACTGGAAGACTGGGGCTAAGAGCACAATGGAGGATCCAGCTACTAGAGCTGTTTTTCTCATGATATTGGCCAAAGATACGTTAGGGGACAGGAAAACGATATAAAATAATCATATCTTCATTTCTTTTCTAGTTAAACATTAAGAATACAGTCCAAAGAGCCCAGATTTAGTTGGACCCAGGCAGGTCCACATGCGAGGTTTTTCTGTCACACCCCAAGGCAGTAAGAGAGTTTGGGGCAGGGGGACTTTTGTACCTGGAGAAGCCAGACTTCTTCCCTCTTCTCATTCTTAAACATGGGTTTGAAAGCAAAAAATTGGCATACAGTTCCAGGTTTTATCTTTTTCTCTGAAAAGGCATTTCAGTGGCAGTTTCTATGCATTTTTATTTTTTTGCTTGCATTTGTAGCTTTATCAGATGGCAATCTATATCCTCCTGCAAGTCACCTTAAATATATAAATGTAGGAGAAAGTGTTGGATTTCAGATTAGCTCTACTGTAACTCTTAGAATTAAGCATGTCTCTCCCTCATCATCATTATCCCCTTCTCTCAGGAGGGGCAGAATACTGGTTGCTGCAGGCATTAGGAACCTTTCCTCTGTCTCTTCCCAGAATTATTATAGACAGCCCCTTCTCAGCGCAAACAGATAATTATTAAATTCTCTTCCTCCAACCCCATCCCCACCTCACCACAGGGGGAAAAAAACCCCAATCCTTGTCGATCTTCAGATGAATGTAATCTGGGAGAAAGGCATTAAAAAAAACAAACCAAAACAAATAAACAAACAAAAAACTCCATGCACACTTAAGCACGCTACATGGAAACCGCTCCCTCCAGCGAATGAAGGGCATCTTGGCAAAGGGAGGTAATTCATGGTCTTAAATCAATCAGGGAGTGAAAATGTAGTTTCAGTAAAGGATTGAAAGCTGAGGCTTTCCTTTCTGTACGTTATGATTTCCATGATCCAGAGGGAAAGCTAAAGCACATGGGTGCACAGGAAAAATGTCTGAAGGCATGGGACAGAAAAGTGGAGCCCGGCGAGTCTGTTCTGAGCAAATTCCTTGTGACAAGCCGTGTGCTGCCCTGGACCTCACCAAGGATGTTATCTTACAGACAGGGCCAGTCTCCTCTCCATTCCCTCCCGGGATTGCTTCCACTTTCCTTAGCATCCTCCAGCTACCATCTCCCACTGCCTTCCAAGAAAGCTTCAGACACAAAAGCAAAGAGAGCGCCTGTTCCCAGGTAGGCACAGGCAGGGTGCTGGGTTAGAAGGGGGGAAGGGCAGAGTTAATGGCCAACCAATTGCAATTTGCTTTTCTTCGGGATTTTTTACATGAAAATGACCTCCACCATATTTTTATTCTTCCATCTTTTTTTTTTTTTTTTTTCCTTTTAAAAGCAAAAGAGTTCAGTGCCATCTAGTGGGGGAGGGGATTGAGCAAGTCAAGTGCCTCCCTTTTCTAGGGATCTGTACCGCTCACTCAGTTATTCAACAGGGAGAGATGATCCTCAGTGTTTCCCTTCTCTCCTTGTGATCTTCATTTCTCAAGAGGTGATATTTAATTCCATGGGCTCCAGCCTTCATTCTTTGTAATGAACCACCTACTGAAGCCAAAGGAACTCGTACTCATGTTATATTACTTGGAGTAGCACTGGCTCTGGAGGCAGTTTGCTGCTCTAATTACAGGATTTCAAATACAAGACAGTAATCAAACCAAACACAGATATAACAAATTATATCTACTAATACTTTTTATCGTTCCAATGCACCTTGGATACTGGTGTGGGTGAATCCTCAGCATGCCAGCCCTTCTACTAACACAGACGTAAAAGATGCTGCCTATTCCACAGAAGCATCTTATGATAGATCCCACAAACACTTGACCCATCAAACAGGTTTTGGGGTGTTCAGGTGACTCAGAACGACGCACAGGCTCTAGAAAGGAAGATCTGGACCACAAAACACCATATAAAAGTTTGTCATCTAAAACCCGCACATTTAAACCAGTTGTCGATGCTCATTCAATTTTTTTTTTTTTTTTTTCAATAGAGAAAGACATTTTCAGGGGGAAACATCAGCCAGCTGCATAAACACGATCTAGCCACACACACACAACACAGAGACACGCAGAGATTAGGCAGACAGCTATGTACACACTAGTGTTTAGCTGTGCACACACCAGTATCTAGCCGCACACAGCGGCACATACCTGGATCTCTTCTGCTCTCCCCCCTGCCAAGGCCCAAAAAGGATTTGTTTTGCCTGTCTCTAAAAAAAGCCATTTGGATTGCAAAGTTAAGCGAGTTAGTGAATACCAGATTTAAGATCACCCGTGCAACATTAACTCACCTCTTATGCAAACACATTATGATACAATCTTTAATTACATGATTTTTGTTTCTATGGGTCTCCTGCTTTTTTCAGTGCAAAGGATGGATGTTGCTCACTTAATGAACACTATTCAAATTTTCTCCCATCCTTATCATCCAATGTGTGGTGCATGTACTATTTACTGCAGAGCATCCAGATCCTGCATTGAATACAGAATGATTAATTTCCTCATGGGCTTTTCTATAGTGGTGTTCTCATTGTAGTTTTTGAGGGTTGTTTTTTTTTTTTTACAAACATCAATGAATTTATCTTCACAGCTCCCTGCTGAGGAACAGAGATAAAAGCCAATATTTTCAAACATGCCAGTGTATTTTGGGTGCTCAATTAAAGAAGCTTAGAACCAAAACTTACAAAGTCCTTAGCACCTTCCTTCTTCAGAGAACAGCTCCCAGTCACCTTGGCTTTACACCCAGCGGGCAGTATTTCTACAAATTAGTGCATGGGTGACTAAAACTGGATACACAGAAAATGGGCACCACATGGATAGTAATCAGGAATAATGTCATTTATATGAGTCACCTAGCTTCATAACAGCAACTTGCACAAAGAGTGAAATAAAATATATTTTTCAATTTCAATTCAATTGCCTTAACGGTGTGACCATGCTTTTTCCTACCTGTACTTGTTTGCTCGGCTCACTGCACAGCCTCCGAACTCTTCACCAAACAGCTGCTATCTCAGAACTGCAGAGTCCTAGTTCATCCGTCACCTACCATGAATGAAAGCAGAGTTTGTGTAGAAAGTAGGATCTGATCATGTATCTTTCTTCACAAACACAAGACACGAGTGAATGGCAATTCATGGGCAATTTTTATTCTTGTGTTTTCTTAGAGTCTTGATTTAGTGACCTGAAGTTGTGATGAACAGGAAAAGCATGCATGAGCTGAGACAGAATTAATCAGGGGGTCAGGAGCTGAATGGAGAGTAGCATCAAAAGAACAGATTTGTTTGGAAAGGAAGCAAAATTAATTGCTGAGCAGAAAGTGGGAAGACATATAAGTGAGCGGTCCTATATCATCTTTTTCAATAAAGCTGAGGCAATGGCCAACACTAAATTGCCTCACAATAGAGACAGGTAAAAGACAGTAGCCTACTAAAAAGAACCACAGTATAATGCTGTTTTTCCAA